TAGCTCGGCAAGGTGATACTCAACCTTCTTGCTTTTCACTAGCATATCGTCGACATACGCCTCAATATTTTGGCCAAGCTGATCCTTGAATACCTCATTCACCAGTCGTTGATAGGTAGCACCAACGTTCTTGAGGCCGAAGGGCATCACCTTGTAGCAATACAAGCCACGACCAATGATGAAGGCCATTTTCTCTTGATCATCAAGATGCATTTGGATTTGGTTGTATCCCAAGAAGGCATCCATGAAGCTCAGGAGTTCATGCCCTACCATTGCATTGACAAGCTGGTCAATCCTCGGTAAAGGGAAGCTGTTTTTGGGGTAGGCTTTATTCAGGTCGGTGAAGTCGATACATATCCTCCGCATCCCATTGGCTTTCTTCACCATCATCATGTTGGTTAGCCAATCGGGGTATTTGACTTCCCGAATGAAACCAACATTGAGCGGCTTTTGTACCTCATCGGCGATCACCTGCCACCGCTCTGTAGAGAAACTCCTCTTCTTTTGCTTGATAGGTCGGTAGCGAGGGTTGACGTTCAACTGGTGTGTGATGGTTTCAGGGTCAATCCTCGACATATCTACAACCGACTAGGCGAACACGTCGGTGTGATCTATCAACAACTATATCAGCTCTTCCCAAAGGTGGTCGTCAAGGAGGGATCCAACCTGGACCGTCTTCTCGGGGTCTTCTTCATTGAGTGGCACCTAGATGAGGTCTTCTACAAGTTAGCTATGTTGCATCCTAACCTTGTCTCATAGGTCGTAAGCCTTGGCCATCAGTGTTTCCACGGCTGGGCATGGTCCTTGGCAAGAGGTCAGGTAGCACTGTCATGTGGTCCTCTGGTCCCCACGTGTGACTCCCACACCATATTGGGTTGGGAATTTTACGGTGAGGTGGAAGGTGGAGATGAAGGCTCACAAAGCGTTAAGGGTCGGCCTGCCGAGGATGGCATTGTAAGAGGAAGGGAAACGGACCACAATGAAGTCCACCATGGACGTTGTGGTGATGTCACCATCTCCTATCAACAGGGGAAGGGCTATCCTCCCAATTGGCATGAGAAACTCCCCAGAGAAGCCCATTAGGAGAGTATTGATTGGGGTGAGGCGATCCCTATCTATGCTGAGCTTGTCGAATGCTTCTTCGAAAAGGATGTCTGTTGATTACTAGCGCATTGTCGTATGGGGTCTGCACTCCTTGGAGGTCGTCCTCTCTGAAGGTAATCGGATCATCTTGCCTCTTCTTTTGTTCACAATGGTCGACCTCGCACAACTGAGCATACTTTTTGGACCCCGAGCTGCTTTCTCCCCTGTGGCAATACCTCCGGATATCACATGAATCACGCCAGCAGGAGCTCGCGGAGGCGGCCGAGCATTTTCAATGTGGGGTTCTTCCTGTTCTTGCTTCTCATTTTTGTCGACGAATCCACCGAGGTATCCACGCCTTATCAGATCTTCAATGTGGTTGCACAGGTCAAAACAAGTATCTGTATCATGGTTGTGGTCTCTGTAGAACTCGCAGTACTTGTTACGGTTCTTCTTGTTGCTTTGAGTTTTCATCTTCTCGAGCCACCGGACATAGTTGCAGTCGTGGATCTGCATGAAAACTTCAGACTGCGGTATACTCAGTGGCGTGAATTTCTGATAGGTCGGTGGAGGTGTCCGCGCTCTGTGGTCGGGCCAGCGATCTTGCCTCTTGTGGTTCCAGTCTGACCTTTCTAACTTTTGCTCATTTGTATCCCTCCTCTTTTTGTCAAGCTTCTCGTCCTCTTCCCCCATCTAGGCCTACGCTTCTTCCGCATTAATGTATTTTTGGGCGTGCGTCATCAGCATGCCTATGGTTTGTGAAGGGTTCTTAGAGATGGAGAAGTTGAAGGGCAAAGGGCGGAGCTCGTGCTGAATAGCGGTGACGACTACTGATTGGTTTAATTTGCAGACCTGTAATTCCTCAGTATTGAACTTCGCTAGATAGCCTTTGAGAGATTCCCCTTTCCTCTGCTGCACTTGCATGAGACTAGCCAAAGTTTTCCAATGCTTTTGGCTGGCTGTGAACTGAGCCAGGAATTGGGTCTCTAGCTACTCCCACGACGCGATAGAGCACGACAGAAGGGATGAGAACCACGTCAGTGCCGGGCCTTTGAGACTTGCTACCAACGCCTTGCACATCAAGGCTTTTGACACCCCATGGAGCATCATTTGGGCCTTAAGTGCGTCGATGTGGTCAATAGGGTCTGTTTTCCCATCATATCTATTGAACTGCAGGGCGCACCACCCTGTGGGAGGCACTTCTTCCACTATCTCTTGGACGAAGGGCGACTCTTTGACGGGTTGAGTTGCTGGTCGCACGGGCTGATCTACGGGTGGTGTCATTCTCCTCTGGCTGCGTTCTAGCTCCTCCAATCGTCACTAGAGATCCCGAATTTCTTCTTCTTTATTGTTGTCCTGGACCGCGCCGTGCGCTGCCCTTTCCTTGGTCTGCAAAGCGGTCTTTTACCGAGCTTGACTCAGCGATAGAGACCATGTAGGGCGGCAGCGTCCATTTGCCGAGCCTTTCCTTGGCAGGGACCTAGGCCGATTGATGTGTTCTATTGCGGTTCTCGTGAGAGCGGACGCAAGAGGCGGATTTTCTTTTCATGTCTTGCCTTTCTTGGTGGGACCGTGTTCCTCTTCTCTCTGGTCGGCGCGTTTTGGGGTCCTCAGGGTGAGGATCGTCCTTCGTACGTGTTGAGGTGTGAGAGGGAATGGCCTAATTGGGTGGTGCCATGGACCCTAGTGTGAGCATTATCTCAAAGATCTCATCGACCTTCTCTTGCATTGCTCGGAACTGCACAAGATCCACTACGGTGGGAGGCTGTTGATTCTCTTGCCACGGGCGGTTGTGTCGGCAAGATTCCCAAGATGGGGATCGCACTACGGAACGTTCAGACTGGTTCTTGTGCATCTTGGTCACTTTCTTGGTTACGCAATAAGGAAGAAAAGATTTCAGGAAAGGCTTTTTGTGTGTATCATATAGACGACGCCGATATGATGTTGCTCGATCCAAGGTAATGCACGAATCGAGGAGGGCAATCAGATAGTCTTTGCCAATAGGGCAGAGCCGAGGTGGAAGGACGAAGTCGTGCTTTAAGACCTGTGATCAAGAAAAGATGTCGGAGGCCCAATGAGGAGCTATCCCTAGATAGATACTCCGACACTCAAGTCAGTAGGGGGGGTAATGGATGGTCGGGCCGAGAAATGAGAGAGCTGGTTCGAGTAGAGCAATAATAGGTGTGCTAGAAGTTGGAATCCCTTACCTTGAGCGTGGAATACTCTTTTGTAGCTGAAGGTGCCATGTCTTGGTTAGACTAGGCTTCCGGGGTTACTGGGATGGGATTAACCGTTGAGGTTCTCGGGAGAGAGTCCTGTCCCCAATGGAGTTGTCTTCCTCTTTCTTCTTATCCGCAGTGGTGCTTATCTGTGTGAGGTGTAGTAGTGTAGTCCGGTTTGGGCAGAACCGATATCCACTGTGAGGTCAACCGGGGTCATAGTAGTAGCATAGCCCGGCCTGGGTGGAGCTGAGATATACCGACGTAGCCCCAATGGTCTCACAATAATTGGGCAGCCACGTGTCTCTTATGTCCAGCTCAGCCATGATCTGCCCAGTTGGTCTCATGTTTGATTAAGGAGGTTCAATGACTATTGTTGGGTATGCTAATATGGATTATGTATGCAATTTAATAAAAAGAAGATCAATAATGGGCTACTTGTTTACTTTGGCAGGTGGGTCCTATTAGTTGGAAGTTAACCCTTCAGTTCACTATTGCCTTTTCTTTCATAGAGGCAAAATATGGTTATGGTTGAGGCAAGTTAAGAAGCTTTGTGGTAATGTTGCATTTTGATAATCAAAGTGCCATTAACCTCGCAAAAATAAGTTTTTCAAGCAAGGACCAAGCATATATAGGTGAAGTATCACTAGATACGGGAATTGTAATTAACATGGGAAAGCTTACCCTTATCCCCAAGCCCAAACAAATATATTGTGCGCCTGATTGGGTTAAGCAACCTTAAAATCTATTAATATACCATCACAATCTGATACAAGATCTTTTAATTTTGGTTCATTGGGCTATACAATGGGGGTAGCCCATCCTCAATAGGTAATTTAGCTACAATATTAATAATTTTAGTCTAAAAGAAATTAAAAACCCAAAAAAATGCACACATGGGCCATACTCGGTTTGGTTCAGTCTAATTACGAATATCACATTGATCTTAGGGGTATAACTTGGATGGGTTGGGTCAAATTATGGAACCAATTATAATGTTCCACGCATTCCACAGCTCGTTAAAAAATCATTGCGTTTAGCTAATTTGAATTTCTAAAAAGGTTAGTCTATACATTAATTTAATTATGGCTATAACCTAATTTTATATAATTACTAATATTTAAAAAAATTGTAACATTTAATCATTAATAAGGTAAAATAAATAAAATTGAACACTAATAGGTAATATGGAAAATTAATTATTTTGTGAAGTAATTAACAATAATTTATTATTTTTGTTAAAAATCATTTGTATAATTAATCCAAATTATTAAATTATTTTTATAAAAATTTAATAAAATAATGATTAATTATTTTAAACAATATTGCATTACTCTTATAATAATTATCCGTTTCTATTGTTTTACTTTCCCTCGACAAATTCGTATAAGAACATGTAGGGCTATCATGACTTGGCGGGTTGGGAAGCAGATCCCGAACTTGAGTGAAAAACCGAAACCCTAACATGATCCTAAACCCGACGACCCGAATAAGCCTAACAGTGCTACACTAACCTACCTATATAGGAACGGATCAATCCGGGTTTATAATTTAGCTTGATCCCACCACCTGTGCCCTAACTGATAAGTTGTGAAGCACGTGATTGATTAACTACCACTTCCACCAACCCTGTTAAGTGAGTTTCCATATTTGCCCTTTAACCCTCTCTCTCTCTCTCTAGTAGGCGAGTGAGAGCCTCACAAATCACCATTACCAAATAAGAGAGTAAAGTCTGAGATTTCCCTTGCAAACATCGAATAAATCTTGTCTCCCTCCTAACTCTGCAGCGCAGTGCCGATCTCTCGTTTTTCTTCGTTGCTTGTAATTTGTCCAACTCTGAAAATGGAGTTCACAGAGCAGCAACTGAAGCAATTCAATGGCTCTGATTCGAGCAAGCCTATTTATGTGGCTATAAAGGGGAGGGTTTTTGATGTCTCCACCGGCAAGAACTTCTACGGTCCAGGTGGGTCCTACTGTATGTTCGCCGGAAAAGATGCTAGTCGAGCTTTGGCCAAGATGAGCAAGAACGAAGAAGACATCTGTGCTTCTCTGGACGGCCTGTCTGAGAAAGAGATGGGCGTTCTCAACGACTGGGAGAAGAAATTTGAAGCTAAGTATCCTGTTGTTGGCAGCGTTGTCTAGACCTCTTTTCTTTATCTTTCAGATACATATAGATGCTTTGGTCGAATTAATATATATAGATATTCTGATCGAATTAATATTCTGGGTCTTACTTGGTTTGTGGGTTTATCCTTGTTTGGTGAAGTGGGTCTATGCTGGTTAATATCTATAATGGAGTAGTGAGATTTTGGATCAGAATGGTACTGAATTTGAATGAAACTTTGTAGATTAACAAATAAATGAAGGTCGTATGGCTTTTTATTAATTTTTTCCTGTTTCTACTTTTTGTGACTTTTGAATGCGGTATGGGTTCCATTAATTTTGCTATGTTTCTATTTTCTGTGACTTTTGTTGGGGTTTTCATTCTCCTTAAACACCGCAAGATTTTGCTCTCAGGAGAAAACTATAGAGGGTACAGTAGATTTTCTGTAGAATAAACCAAAAGGAAGATGGGTTTTGTCAGAACTCAATTACTTCTAGAGGTCTCTCTTCTCAAGAGAAAATTTGGCTTTTGAATTTGTTATGGTGAGATTTTGGGATATTCATAAGCGTGGAGAAGCACTTCCATAGAATCAGAAAGAACTGTTTGGATGTTTATTGGAAAGAAATGAATTCTGAGGAGCCAAGGAAGCTTCTTTAGTTGTGTTTGGTTTGAAAGGAAAGGTAGAAAAACCTATATTAACCAGGGTTACTTTGACTGCTACCACCAAAGTTCTTATTTTGGAAGCCATTTCATTTTTTTTTTTTAATGTTTTCGTTTTTCCTGGGGCAATGCTTTCTTGGCTCATCTGATTGCGGGCTGTTATCTACAGTAGGCCAAACAAATGGTGATGTTCTCACTCTTAGTTTTTGTGATTAAAATTTAGGTTTGTCATCACAGTGGAAAGCAAATTGTCTAATCAGTAGGGCTACATCTTGATTTTTTATGATTTAGACTAAACAATTCTGGACAAGTTCTAATTTTATGTGACTCATAATCTATCTTTTTCAAGAAAAAAGCAGTCCATCCATTCAATAGCTTCCTCTTATCAGCAAAGTAGGAAGAAGGAATGTTACATTGAGTGTCTCATAGCACTGCATAACCATTAACCACTACACGGGGGGGTTTTTTTGTTATCAGGTCCCCAGCATCATCACTAATCCATGCTTAGTGACCAAGTATTCCTCCTTCTTTATTACAATTTTGTTTCTATTATATTAAGTTCATTTAAGAATCATAGATCATTGTTCCAACTGCTGACATTCTCTTGTATCACGGAAGATGGACACAATCTTTCTTTCATGGGGATGGCTGTTAGTGCCAGGTTAAGGCATTTATTCATTAAGGCTCAGTTTGGAAGGAGTACAAATACAATTATGTACGGTAAATACATACAGAATAAAAGGTTTTGCACTCTACATATTTGTATTTGTTCTCCTTCCAAATGGAGCCAGAATTTGGGAAGAGTGCAAATGAAAATATGTACAGTGCAAAGCCTTGTATACGGTATTTCTAAACTTTTTATTTGCAGTCTTCCCAAATTGAGCCTTAGGCTGTGTTTGGTTGCATTGAAAATGTAAACCAGATATATTTATCAAAAAAAAAATGTAAACCAGATATAAATTTTGCACCCTGTTCAGTTTTCATTTATTTGTTTGTAGCTATAATTTGCAATCTTACATGACAAATTTGTACTTTTTGTCTCATGTGCATTCATTAGAAGTGTAAATTTTGCATATCAAAAACTGATGCAAAATTTGCACCACCTTCCTCCTACCCCAATTCTCTCTCATATAAAGTGGGGACCACATCTTCTAGCATCCTATGTCGCTCAATAACCCTCCTGCCTCTATTCTCTTGCACATAAGGTGGGACCATAGTATTTTACTTTTCACAGAAAAGAAAAGATAGTCAAATCTGAAGCAACAGTAAACCAGAATTTACACATCCTATATTGATAAAAAAAAAAAAAAGAATTTGCACAGCCTATTTGCACTCCCATGCATTTACACCAGTTCAAATGAAATTTGTACTGCAGCCAAACACAGCCTTAGCCACAGACTCTGCTAGTTATTTTGTTTTTTAGTAACAGATAACTTCATTAAATGTATTTAAAAAAACAAAAAGCAAGATACAAGGATGAAGCTAGCTTCAGCTAGCCAACAGTATTGCATCACATTGTATAATCATCGCCCAAAACAATTCTTATCTTTTTACCCCTAACTTAGCCAGCCCATTTGTCATAGAATTTGCATCCCTTGGAGACCAAAGAAACCTAACATTTAAGTCAGAAACTAAATGATTCATTCTCTTCTGCGTATCTGTAATTCCAAGCCCCTTCTTCCTCATTCTTCAGCCACCCTATAATGACTTTTTGAGTTGCCCACTAAATATGTTATTGAAATTAGCTGCTCTATCCAGTTTAAGGCCCTGCAGGAATTTGCATCCCTTGGAGACCAAAGAAACCTAACATTTAAGTCAGAAACTAAATGATTCATTCTCTTCTGCGTATCTGTAATTCCAAGCCCCTTCTTCCTCATTCTTCAGCCACCCTATAATGACTTTTTGAGTTGCCCACTAAATATGTTATTGAAATTAGCTGCTCTATCCAGTTTAAGGCCCTGCAGTATAGCATTCTGTTATGGGCCAGAGAATAGGATCTCGTAACGGGTCGGTCCACGGGGAAAACCTCCTGTTTTCCCTTGTTCCTCCCTTTTCTTGAGGAACCTATTTTGGTGCTTTAATGGTGATTTGTTCAAGAGATCACCAACTCTCCTCATTCTTTTCTTGACTGAAATTTTCGATGTGTTTATTGAATAATATCAGCTCCTTAAATAGGAGATTACAAGAGGTAGAATCCTACTTTTAGGAAGACTCCTTGCTAATCTACTACTCTATCCTATTAAACTGATAAGATAAGACTGAACTGATAAGATAAGATAAGACTTCCTTAATCTATCCTACTGAACTGATAAGATAAGATAACTGAATAGATAAGACTCCTACTAATCCCTGCTACTGAAAGCAGATAAGGTAAGAATACTGAATAGATAAGATAGGATGAGAACACTAAATTGCTGCTGCTGAGAACACTAAATTACTGCTGTTGCGGTCGGCGCCCACATCACATTCACATCTACAGTAGCTTTAGTCTTCAATGCCCAAGGGACCTGAAAACGTACCCAAAATGTTGCATCATCCCTGAATACTCCCCCAATGCCTGAGGGTCCTGGATTGCCCAAGCTACTAACTCCATCAACATTTAGCTGTCCAAGCTTCAAGTCTTCTGTTTTCTTTTTTCCCTTCTGCTAAGTGGTAAGCCAATCATGCTTCCTTTTACCTATTCTCTGTCATGGTGAGGTTTTAAACTTTTTGCCACCTGAGATAGAGGTACATGGTGTTTATTATGGATATTGAGCCCACGCTGCACCCATATTTTGTTGTATCAACATGGATTTTCTTGGAGAAAAATGTATATCTTGGAACCAGAAGGTCTCACTTAGTGATTCTTATTTTCCCAGTATCCAATCGATGTTCATGTGAATCAACCAAATAACAGAGATGTAGTCCATCCACAAATACAAAACTCTGTTGGATTTGGATAGGTCCCTAGATGGTTTAAGCAGGACTCCCAGAATCACAAGTTTTGGCTCTTTAATACTGCTAGATCTTACTCAGGTGAAGTGAAGATGATTTTGGTGGGATTTTGTGGAATAGCCATGAAAGACCCCCGTGGCATATATGTAATGTGGCTTATTTGCAGCCTACATTGATGATATTCCATGAGGCACAGGTACTGCATATGATCTGTTGATTAGAAAGCAGTGTTGTTAGAATGGGACCAGAAGAAAAACCGAAGATCTCCCTAAGTCACAGTTATACTGGTTTTATCAGAACATAGAACCATAAAAAAAAAAACTGAGGCGTGGAAACCATGGTTCAAACTTCAAAGTATTGGTATGATACGTATTGATTTTCGGGGTCACTGAAACTCTAATTATTAGGATTTAGTGTTTGAAATGCGTGATACACAATTTTGAACCATGCTATAGAAACCTCACTAGATCACTGGTTTACTGGTTCAAGCATCTGGTTCGATCTGAGCTTGATAACATTGACTAGAGGAATCACTGTGGCAATCCTAACTCCATGAAACTCCGGATTATTGTGCCCATTGGACAGACCATGATTCTAATCTTCTTGAGCCATCTCTCATGGTTGGACAGTTGGGCTGCAGCTCATTTTGCAGCATTTTGTTCTCATTCATCTCTTTAGCTTTCTTTTTGTGTTCCAGTGCCTTCTTCCTTGAGTTGTTTGCCTAGATGGGCTCCCCCACCTTTTAAAATAATCTTGAAAGAAGTCGGAACTGAATCTGTAATCTTGAGGGTGAAGGAAGATACAATTGCCATTTCTACCTTAAACGTTTGGAGTTGGCCAATATAAACTTATGAAACATAATTTTTCTACCTGAAACTTTTTTGGGTTGGTGACACAAATTGCTCTTTTTACTTCACTGTCAATTTTGACATTTCAAACTCTAAACCGTAAAGATCAGTTCCACACGCATTTTTATATGATGTGATAATACTTATTTTTCGTCAATTTGTATTGATCAACCCTGAACATTTTAGGTACAATTCTGACAAGGTTATGGATAGACTTAGGCGGTGTTTGTGATAGATGCTGTTTCCTGAGAGGCATTTTCTCAGAAAATGGTGCATGCTGTTTTTTTAGCAAGCGTTTTCTCATATTTTTCATTTTGGCATCATTGCTTTTGCTGCCATATAAGTGTTTTTCAATGTCACATTACAATACTATTGCTAGCAACAGTAGAAAAGCAGACCAGATCTTTCCCGATTTTCAAGGTGTGGTCTGAAAAACGTTTTTCAGAAAAACGGCCAACCTAACAACAGGTTTTTCTCAGAAAATGGATTTCTGATATAATGCTGATGTGGCATTATTTTCCCAAACACCTACTTGATTGTCTAAAATCTAAATAGAACTAAAGGTAATTATTTAAAATTTTATAATGAACTAATTTTAATTTACCATAATGTTCATGAAATGAATCCACCGTAGATGATTAGTCGTGGCCTCATAGATTATAGCACTGAAATAGGGATGCAAATGTATCCATCTGCCTGCATTCAAATTTGAATCCAATCCAATCAAAGTCATTTGAATCTGATTGGTTTGAAAGTAATATATTTAATATAAGTCATAGATTGAAGTCTCATTGAAGCTATTACGTCAAAGTCATTTATAGTTTAGTTTATAATTGGTAAGTTTTGATAATTTTTGTTTAATTTATTAATGGTATATAATATTTGAATCTAATCTTAACCCGACGGTGAGTTTCAATTTGAATTTGAGGCTTAGTTTGGAAAGAATATAAAATACAAATACATAAAAATATAAGGTTTTGCACTCTACATATTTGTATTTATATTCCTTTAATTATATATATATCAAGATTCAAAATATCGATACATTTGATATGTTGGTAGAGGCATATTGGGTAGTATTAGTGATTTTTTTTTTTAAATCTGGTTTAGAGGGGCCGGTATAAGGTCTGTCCACCCCTGAATCGGTCAAAACCCCGATACACCCTTTGTAGGAACAAATAAAGGTTTTGCACTCTACATATTTGTATTTATATTGACTTTCTATTTTTAAAATGGATTTAAACCTTCCTGTCCAATGAAATTATGGGATAGAGATCTCCCTTCCATAATAATTTGTCGAGATCTATTTGTACATTATATCACTTATAGTTTATCTTTTTAAAATCCCAATTTTTCCCTCCTATAATCATGGTTCAAAGTATCGATACGCCTTTGCATATCGGTACTTAGAAACACATGGAAATACATTTTTTTTTAATTTTTTTTTCAAATTTTGGTTTTTGGGAGATAAAAATGGATTTTTTATTAAAAAAATGGGGAGCTAAAAGTTGGTTTTTGGTGTTTTAGGACTCAAAAGATACGATATGATACATCCGATACAAGGCGTATTGTATTGATTTTTTGAACCTTGCTTATAATCCTTTTACCTTGACTCATAAAAAACCACTGGAAATCAATTAAAACATGTTCCAAGCATTTTTTAAAAAAATGGACATGCATCGTAAATCACATCCCAACCACTGCATGATCAGTGAACCGTTTCCCCCAATGGTTGAATGATGTGGTGCTTACATGTATGTGCACATACATAAAAAGTGGTGACGAAAATCATCTTACCAAATAACATTAGTGTTACTCAATGCCTACATGGCAGAAACACTATCAACCATATAAAGGTGTTTTTTTGTAAAAAGCGGGTCTAGCAAGTGTGGACATTTTTTTTTTAAATGAGTCCCAAAAAACGTCTATGTTTCCAAACACCATTTTAGGAAAGTGTTTTGTATTTTGTTTGGTTTGAGTCAAAATGATTTGAAATGATTTCATGTCAGCACCATATAGGCATTTAATTAGATTTGAACGGCCAAATTTCTAATTGGCTGGAGATTGTATTTGGTAAAAACACTGCATTTTGATGAAAATTCATGTCAAGGGGTGTTTAAAAGCCAAATTACTGTGGGAGGGAGGCAAGGTCTCAAAGCCTTTAGTGGTTTGGTGCTAATGTGGTTTGATATGGATGAAAAAACACATATTTCCTACCAAACAGAGTCTAAGTATATTTATACTTAAATTGTAGTTGTCGACGTCAGATTCCTCACGTTTCTTCCTAACTCCTTTAAATTTTGTATATTTTTTGAATTTCTAAAATAAAAAAAAATTAAATATGACATATCCAACCTCACCCACAACCAATTTGGTTAAGAAGTTGAATGTAACGTGGGCATCTTTTTACAATTCAGATCTCATACTCATACCTACCCACAAGACTCTACAACTGTACATTAGGATCATTTCTCATGAATGATAACATATAAATACGAGAGATGTTCTCAATGTATGGATAAGAGATCCAAACACATCTTTTTGAAACCAGCTCGATGCAGAGGTTTCTTCTGGTTCAAGCATAAGTGAAGGCACTTCTGTTTGGAAGAATAAACAGTTTTTCAAACCAAAAATGCTTTGATTGAAACACCTACGGTACCAAACACAACCTAAATTGGTTTGACAAAATTGTCAAAGTAAATGACTAGACTAAAAGAAAGTCATAGCAATGTACCAAAGAACGGATGGATAGGCTTGTTGAGTGAATGATTATTAATAAATAATATCGTTGAAGCGATAGCTGGAAAAGTCCAAAAGATACCCTTTTTTTTATTATTTGTGGGGTAGCAATAGCGTTGGATAGTCTTCCTTGCTTCCAAGCTAAGAAAGCTCTCTTGGTTCCCCATTGTTTCATATGTTAGTCTATAGTTATTAAATTCTCTTATGCATCCGCCATTAAAACAGAAATAAGCACTTTTATGCCTTGTTTGTTCTTGAAATCAGCAATCAGTCTCAACCTAAGATGGGGTTCTATCAGACTCAGACCAGATTAGACTGTTGAACCAGTGACCCAGTGAGATTTTGGAGTCCCCGGTGAATTTTCGAATTTTCTGTCCGCTCCAAGTCTGTCAAAGTGTCAAGCTTTACTTTTTCAAATTTGCTTTTTATACATCCATGAGCCATCAAATTATCAACTAAATATAGAAAATAATTGCATGAAAAACTTTTCTCTGATTCATGGCGCTAGTTTTATGTAGTCAACATCTGTTTACATCCTATATTATCTGGCAGCTTCTTCTTATTGGATTTAATTTGGCCCACAAGTCACATCGATTTGGTTTTGGATAATCCAAACCATTCCACATGCCTACATTATTCACTGAGTAATATAGAAATATTTTTCTTCCAAGTTACGACAGTGATTGGTTGGCTAACGGCCATGAGAGGAACTATTCTCTCTAATAAATGATTCATTGGAGGCTCCCATTGAAACTCCTCTTTCTGTAAGTATACAGAATGATGAAAACAGTGCAGCTCCAAACAATAGTTCACGATTGATTGTATGATATTTACAGTTCAATACTTCCATTCCAACTAAGGACTATGCATTGTCTCGCCTTAACAATGAAGAATTGGCCTTGAAGAGTGAGAAAGACCCAAGAACTCACATTTTAACACAAGACATGGCCCTTGATGAGTTTAGCATTTACCTTAGAAACCATTAATGTCAAACCGTCTGAAGTAGTCTTGATCAGTTTATTGGGGGATTATAAATAGCATTCAAGCTGGTAGGATAGAAATTAGTGAGCAAAACAAGTAATGCTTTTGATGGGGATTAAGCTGTTGAAAGCTGAAGCCATGATCAAATGTTTTAGTTTTGCCAGGTGTCCTGACTTCTCCTACCAGTGTTCAAATTTCTTACCTAAATTCAATGATTCAACTGGTCCATGGGAACAATTGGAGCAATGGGGCTTTGCTAACCCTTAGAATATAAGCCATTGTATGATGATTTGGGCTCAGCTGGATTTAGTCATATTGCTCTAGTCTTGAGTTCGATCTGCTTGGAGGCCAAGCTAGCTTGCCCATTGATGATGTTCACCACCAAACACTGCTCATTTTGACATGGGTGAAATGATTAACCAGTAATCATCAAAGCAATACACTAAAACTCTTGTAGTGGGTATGTTCTTCATGATTTTATGGATTGGAATGATAAAACTCTATTAAAGTAAAGAAAAGATTGGTTTCAAAGTGCACCATTTGAACTAAATGTGTGCTTGTGCTCTGCCATTACACTCCAATGAAGTTGGTGGAGTTGGTCATCTAAGCAGGCACAAGTGGCCCCCCTAACCCTCAATTAATCAATGATTCAACACCCCAAACCAGTAATTTGGTAGAACATAATCAAATACTGGATGTACCAAATTCAAACATCATTATGACTTGCAAATTTCAACCATCAGATTCATTGACGTTTGACTTGAATAATGAACAATACCTAAGATGACCCACTTAATGAATGGATTAGATTGTTATACGTGGCACTGATTTGGACTACCAAGATTCAAGATGCTTTACCTTAAGAGAGATGTAGAATGAGATTTGTCATCCACTGTCTCTAATAACAACTGAACACAGAGAGCGAGCCCAAGTCTCCTGTTCCACATTGAGACCACGCTGGTCGATTAGTCTGAACTTTCCTATTTAGCAAATCAACCACAACCGACTAAGCTGTTATTAAAACTAATAACAACCCATTTTTCTCCTCTCCCCAAAACCCGCAAATCCAAGCTCAAACCCTGTGCCTTTACTACTTGATTTTGCTTTTCGGCCTGAATCTTGGTAGTTTGATAAATTTAGGTACGTTTCTATCTTATTAACATGTCTGGAAGAAATCCCACGTATACCAACCCAAAACCCTGCAAACATCTTGCAGATTACAAGCTAAAACATGGTTTGGATGGGTACAACTCACTTCAGAAGAGCCTCAAAACAACCCCAAATGGAAGAACTGCCATGAATCGAGACCAGAGCAAGATACCCAGATGCAGTTTTTGTTCTGGGTATGAAGGGAGGCTTTATTTTTGTCTGATCTGTTCCTCCGTTTCATGTTTTAGCTCGCTTGAATTAAACCACGCCTTCTTGCATTCCCAATCTGTGAAGGGTCATGAGATTGCTGTGGACATGGAAAGAGCCGAGCTCTTTTGCTGTGTATGCTGTGATCAGGTCTATGATCCCGATTTTGATAAGGCGGTGATGTGTAAACAGATTATGGAGATGCCCTGTAACAACAATGTTGTTGATGTTAGTATAGAGAGTTCAAATAAGAGGAGAAAGGTGGCTCCGAAGAAGACCGCCCTTGATTTGAAGAATTCAAGGGATTTGGTTATGAGGTTGCGTCGAGAATCAAATTCATGCTTTCTTTGGGGCTTGAGGGGATTGAACAATCTGGGCAGTACTTGTTTCATGAACTCGGTGTTGCAAGCATTGCTTCATGCACCCCCATTGAGGAACTACTTCCTTACTGAACAGCATAGCCGGGAAAGTTGCCGGAAGAGTTCATTTGATGGACTCTGCTTGCGCTGCGAAATTGCCACTCTCTTCTCTGCTTTCTTTTCTGGGGATCGGGCACCTTACAGTCCTGCCCGGTTTCTTTACAGGTGAGACATTGATTTATCTCTGCTATTTTCTGTGCTAATTGTTAATTGTTATTTCCAGTGGTTTCCATTATCAATTTCAGTGGAATCTGTACAATAGGCAAAAATATTGGGTGCGGACCGTGCGGTTTCTCACCAAGTGTTTGTAAGATAATGTATCGTCAGCTGTAATTATTGCTTACAGAAATCACTATCTTCTGTACAATAGGCCAAGAGTATTCTGTAATTCTCGCTTAAATAGTATTTATGTTTATTAGTCATCTATCTAATTTTTATGACAATCCGTCAGCTACAAAAATCACCATCTTCACTTGCATTTCAGTACACTAATCTGATAATCGAGATGTCTTTCATAAATATTTCTTATGGTTTATGCGTGTTGTTAAAGATACAAAATTACATTTGCAGCTGTAAACTTCAAAAAGGATTTTTCCCCTGCAGCGATTTTCTACCATCTTCTAAAATGTGGTCGAATTGAATAGATTCAATTGTTGATGGCAGGAAAAAGTATTTTGGTGATTGCTTTACTTTATTGAATTAGGCATTTCAAACTCATCTTGTTGTCCAATAACGCTGGAGATCTCCTGATCTTGTTACTTTGTTTGCCCTTACAAAATGTCTAGGGAGATTCATTACAAGCAGTCACTCAGTATGAGCTTCTTGATTGATTTCAAAAACACTGTTGTTATTCCTGCAGCTGGTGGAAGCATTCAGCAGATCTTGCCAGTTATGAACAACAGGATGCACATGAATTTTTCATCTCACTCCTTGACAGAATCCATGAAAGGGGGGAACAAGCCAGACCCTCAAACAAAGGTATTTGAAATATCAAGGTCTAGCATTACTTACAAGTATCAAATTCTAGAATGTTGTTCCATATTTTCACTTTGACATCCATTTTTAGGCCCAAAATGAGTACAATGGCGCCCATAAGTAGTAACTTGCTTTTCTAAATTTAGCCCAGTTTATGATTCTCTATAAGCTTTTTCTTTTTTTTTTTACACAGATAATGGAGATTGCCATTGTATTACTCATAGAGTATTCTCTGGGGTCTTGAGATCAGATGTTACTTGTACAACATGTGGGTTCACTTCAACAACCTATGATCCCTGTGTGGATATATCTCTTGATTTAGACCCAAGAAACGGCTGTGCAATGGAGGTAGCTGATGGGTTCATCAAACAAAGTGAAACCAAGGACATGTCTACTCTTGTTGGTTGCTTAGACCTCTTCACAAGGCCAGAAAAATTGGGCTCTGACCAGAAGCTATACTGCCAACACTGTCAAGTAAGACGAGACTCATTGAAGCAAATGTCCATCAGACGGCTTCCATTGGTCTTGTGTTTCCATATAAAACGATTTGAGCATTCCCCAATCCGAAAAATGTCAAGAAAGATAAACCGGTACTTGCAGTTCCCTTTCACATTAGACATGACCCCATATCTATCATCTTCAATCGTGAGGAATAGGTTTGGGAACAGGATATTTGCTTTTGAGAGTGACGAAGCAGATATTTCTACAGAATTTGATGTGTTTGCAGTTGTTACTCATTCTGGGAAGCTTGAATCTGGCCATTATGTGACATACTTGCGCCTGAAGAACCAATGGTACAAATGTGATGATGCATGGATTACACAAGTTAGTGAAGGGGTGGTGAGAGCTTCACAAGGCTACTTGATTTACTATGTGCAGAAAATTCTTTACCACAAAGCAAGTGAGGATATGCTAGCTCAACCAATTTCGCCTCATAGAGATTCATTTCTTTCTACATCTGTGTGTTGCTAAATGGAATGTCTTACATGGAATAAGGTTAAACACCAAGCTAAATCAAAGAGACATGGGTTTTCTCTCATCTGTGACCGGATAATGCATGGACAAAAAGAAACAGAAGTTTAACATTTAGGAGGGTCTGAGAATCATCCCCTGCAAGCCATAAAATAAGACAGGCTTCAGTTGTAAATAGATAGAATGCAGAGCATACTAAGAACAACCATGCTGTTGAGCTCCAGTACTTAGCATAACCTTTCCAGAGAATATCAACCAAAACTTACTCTTCAGATTCAACAAAACATGTTCCAGATTTGACTCTTATTGACTCATGAGTTTCCTGCTCAGGTATTTGACGAGTTCAGGAGCTTCAGAAACCATTCTGTTTCCTACTTACATGGATATAATTTCAAGTGAACTTGGCCCAAGTTTCTCTTTGTGGCCTTTTAGATCAGACATGTACATTTTATTTTCATTGAAGCATTGATGGAATTAATTATTTTGACTCCTGTTATTAACACAGTTTCAATGAATATGCAACTCCTGATTTCTAGTGGCTCTTCCATCTTTACAGTACCTTCAATAAACAACGAAACCCTAATGCAGTCTTATCAAATTATGATAATCACCTTAGCTGTCTATCCTTTTATGTTTTTCTTTTTTTTTTTCTTTTCCCCTTCTGTTGTTATCAATTTTTAGGCTGTTGTACTAGATCTGGGACCCTATTGGTGCTTTATGGTGCTGCAGCCAAGTGAACAGAAGAGCATCTTTTAGCTCACCTCTCTTAGTAAAATAATCTCAAGGAATGCTTCATCCGCCCATGGCCCACTCTGGGATAAACACCATTTATGCGACCTTGGGCCAAGTGTTGACTGATAATTTCTGATATTATACCAACCAAACTCAGTGCGACCACCTGGGCCAAATGTACACTGCTTGTGCTGCATGTGAATGCTGCCACCTTGACTCTAAAGGTGTTTGTTTGATAACCAAGTTTACATCTCCAATTCAAGGCAACTTCATGTGGAACGTGTAAGTGAACCCTTGTACCTACATGTCTTTGCCCCATTAAGAGCGCCAAGGCTACATGCCAGAGAGGATGGTTGTTGGCTGGGGTTGGCATTTGTTTGGAATCCCAACCGCCCACCTTCTAAATGGAGCGGTGTAGCGGGTAGAGAAAGTGGGAAACAAATAGAAAATAAAAAGTAAACGATGAATCATTCCTGTGATAACTTCTATAAAAATTTCAGAAACCTTTCCTGAATACTAAATTGTGGAAGCTTTATAGACAACCATCCATCAGCTATGGGGTCCTTTTAATTTAGATTATTTACTCGTGCATTTCCTCTTATCTGTATACTCTATACCTTGTACTGGAGCTTTATCTAACCAGTACAAACCATCTCGGGTTTTAAACTTCTTAGTTGTGATTGTGAGTTTAAAGAACTTATCAAGTATAGAATGTAATGTCATTAGTCATTATTCGAATACTAAATTGCAGTTTTATGATACTTGGAATTGAACCCAATAAACTGTTGAATTACCTAACTGACAGTTTCTGTTTTTTGACAGTTTTTCTTTACAAGTTTAGAAAAGCACTATGAGCTTTACAAGTTTACAAGTTTCGAATTAAAGAACTATGAGCTTTCCAAGTTTCTGTTTTTTGACAGTTTTTCTTTACAGACTGAATTACCTAACTGACAAATGACAATTTTATTTATCCTTTTTTTTGGCAATTACTAACTAGGGTTATAAGTGGATTGAATCAAATTCGGGTAGGGTATATCTAAATATGATCCGATGAAAATCTGATATCCGAATTCAATTTGATATCTGATTAATATATAATGTATGGACTAAAACTCCATTCATTTGCATCCCTCTTCTTCCAGTAGGCATTAACCAGTCTAGAGGGGTCCCCTCAGATAAAGCACTTGCAGTTCAAGATTTTGAACGTGGAGCCATTACATGATCTGTCTGATTAACAGAATGAGGGATGAAATATAAATAAATAGAAACTAAACACATTATCTAATACTATCTTCAATATGAAGACTGGTCCATGAAATATTTCCTTCATTCTTCTTCTGAAAATTGATTGCCAATAAAGAGTCTGATTCAATGGTGACTGCAGACCATTAAAACCATTAAAATCAAAAGAACCTGAATTAGAATTTGTGGTTCCTCCATGGCAGTTGATTTTTGATTACTCGTATTTCAGGGATGCTCTAACCTAATTCCCCGCTTCTCTCAGTTGCTGCAACACCGGAGACAATACTACCTTTGCAACTTGCAAGTTGCAACCCGTTACAGAATTACTTGGTCCTTTGCCACTTGAATTGGGCCAACTTGAACCTAACTCAACCTAAATGGACAAATGTAGGGTTTGGTTAGGATTAGAAAATGGTAACTTTGTGTAGAATAGGGTGAGTTAGGTTAATGCCTCAGGCAACCCAAATAGGGCTGATTATTCGTAGCACGGCCCAGGCCTGGACCCATTACTTTAGACCAGGCCTGACCTGTAATTGGAGTTGATTTGTGATCATAGCCATCAAAGATCCAAGATTGAACCATGTATATTTCACGACCTGGATCCGTTTAATCAGAATTTAAGCCCAAAAATGCTGGGCCTATGTCCTAATAACTTACAAAGCAAGAAAATTAACTTGACACATCCAGTGCAATGGAGGTTATTGGGTGGGCACCCCTCTGGGGGTTGCCAAATTAGGCCATGGGCCTTCTTGATCACCCATTTCCCCGTCCAGGTAACTATGTTTTCCATTTTATCTATTCCTCTATTTATACATCCCTTTACTCATAATTTTTCTTACCTATGTTGGATTAGATTTAGATAATGCATTTTTGAATGAAAGAAACCTTTACATCGTTTTGGGTTGTTGAAGTTCTTTAGTTTCATATCTCTCCCTCCCTATGGGAGGCCTCACCTAGCATCCCATTTCTCAATTAATGCCCCAAACAAAAGACACATGACAAAAGCTTGGGTCTGGGGACACAGGTTACAGGATCAATAAATTTACCATATGTTCCATTTTAATTTAGGAGTATTAGAATTTATCCATGAGAGATTTGTTAACTCATTAGAATTTATGTCTTTTATCTTACTAGTAAATGTGCATGTGTTTTGCATATAGCAATTTTTTATGATGATGATAGTATTTTATATTGTTAACATTTTTTTTTTTGCACTTTTAGGTAACTTATTAGATTTAGATTTCGTTCCTTTAATTATTATTTCTTGTCATATACTTATAATTAACTTTTCTGTTTGTAAATTTTGTTCCCTTGAATAGGAGGTAACTTTACGTTTACAATGGTGTATGTGAAGTTGAGGATACGTTTCTTTTTGATTGGGTGAATTTTAATGCGAGGACGAGGTGGATGTATCCACATAAATGGCTTCTATGGTTCAACAATGGTTTTTGCAATATTAAATTTCTTAATTATGGTGTTTTGTCAAAGTGTACATTTATCCCCAAGAAATTATGATGATCAAGGGATACTTTATGTCCAATGAAAATTCTAGAAAAGCAGACCCTATTCTCACTTTATAAGCAGTATAGATTTCTTGTATCAAAAAAATTAAGAATTATTTAAATATTTGTCAGATAGCTTATTGGTGCTTTAACTAATTAGTAATCGGGCACGTGCGTTGTACATGAGAAATTTCTTTTCATATTAATTACTTGAATTTTAGATATATCATAGTTAAGATAGAAATTGAAAATTAACAAAAGTAACAATATGATTAAAAATAAACTTAAATGCTTGTAGTAAATGTACTCATGCATCGCACATGGAAAATTTAAATTACAAAAACAATTATTATTATTATTTTTATTATTATTATTTCTGCATTATATTTCTGTTAGAAACAAAAATAATTTTTATTTTAACAATTATTTTTGTTTAATATGATGAATATATAACATTCGAAATGTTCATAGATGTTTTCAACAAAATTCTGTATTTTTCCATTTTTTGTGTTCTGTCCTTTTTCAAATATTTATTATTCAATTATGACATCATGAGTTTCTTTGAAAAGTTAGATCATTGACCCACCATCTAGATAAGAAAATAGTTTTGCTTTATGATCAATTTTATATTATATATTTCATCTACATTATATAAAGATTTTTTTACTTATCACAATTAATTTTTGTTTAACACAATTAATATATAATTTTTTATGTATTCTTTTGATTACTTGTACTTATTTTTATTTTTTAAAGATTTCTTATTCAACTATCATATCATTAATTAATCTATTTGATAACCCACTAACCAAAAAGGAAAATAGTTTGATTTTTAGGTTGACATTAAATTTTGTATTACATTTCCATCAATGATAAAAAAAAAATTTTATTTATAATACTTATTTTTGTTCAATATAATGAATATATAATATAAGAGATGTACCCAATATTTCATCTTTTATAAATATATAACATTACATATATGCCCAAATTTTTCTCTATTTTTTTTATTTTTAAAATTTTATTATTTGATTATGACATTATTTCATTTCTAAGTTGATTTTGATTTTGGCATTCAATTTTCATCATAAACAAGAATGCTTCTTACATTTCATAATTGTTTTTGTTTAGCATAACAAATATACAATATTAGAGATATGGCCAATTATTTTTTAACTTTTTTGTATTATATTTTATTTATTTTAATTTTTTATTATTTAATTATGTCATTATTTATTTAACCCCTTTAACTCCAAATGGTTAAATTTCTTACCCACCACCGAGAGGAAAGAAAATGGTTTTGTTCTAACTTGCTTTTTAAAATATTTATGTTTATACTATTAAAATTGAATATTGTGGATTTAATTAATAGAAATTTATGATGAGAAAAATATATCTTAAATATATGATTTAATGAAATAATATACCTTAGATATGAGATTTAATGCGAGAGAATAGGAAAATAGTTTTATTTCCAATTGGTTTTAAATTTTATATTCCATTTCGATCATTAATAAAAGCCGTTATTATTTATCATATTTATTATTGTTTAATATGTCGAATATATGATGTTAAAAATGTTCCTAGTTTTTTAATTTCTATATTTTTGCATTTTATCTATTTTGAATTTTATTGTTTAATTGTGGCAACATGGATTTGACCCATTTAACCCAAAATGGTTTAATTTCTTACCACCACCTAGATGAAAACACTAATTTCCAATAGATTTTAAAAGTATAAGCTTTTGTTGTTATTGAAATTATTAATTTATTATGTATGGATTTAGTTAATAGAATTTAATAATAAGAAGAAACAAAAATGCCTTAAATATATGGTTCAATGAAGGTGAATGCAAGTTAATAACTAAAGTGTTGGATTTAATAAGAATGAATTGAATGCATTGATTAACTTAAAATTACCTCTTTTCATCTCATTTAATGTCAATAATCGATTACCTATTTATCCTTATTTTTTATCAATAAATTTAAATATGGAGGGATAAATTTTGTCCTCAAAAAATTCCA